GCCCCTCGCCCGGCCCGGCCGCACCTCCGCTCTGCGCTCCCCGGGCGCCGCGCTGCCCGGCCCCGGCCTGCCGCTTCCTGCCCCGCGGGGCTGCGTCCCTCCGGCTCTCCCGCTGCTGACCCAGGCCCGCTCCTGCAGCACCCGAGTCTTGGGGCCAAGAGGAGGCAGGGGGGTACTTTGCATCCGTGCCCTGACCTACGGCTCTCCTCTGGGCGGAATGGAAAAGAGCTGATTTGCAGCTCAGATACCGGACGCACCGTTAGATTCCGATGTCCTTATTAAAGTTATAGTAACAACAGCAATAGTACTACTACTACTACTACTAATACTTATAATAGTAATGATAATAATTCCACAGTTATAAAGGCGCAGGTGCTGCCTGGGCGGTTTGCAGTGTGCGCCAGGTGCGAGAGCCAGGCGGCAGCGAGGGAAGAGACAGCGGGGAGGGATGGAGGGACACCCGGAGCATGAGAGGCGGCAGAGAGCAGAGACAGACTCGCGGCGGCTGTGGGTACGTGCAGGCTGAACAGAGTTACTTACGGCCGTTGTAGTCCGGGCAGTCTCACCAGGGGAAAGAGCCGACTGGAGAACCTGATTCCGCTTTCTGATTTGCTTTTGTGTGTGTGTGTGTTTTAATTTAGTTTTGGGTTCTAATGTTTTTTTAAGTAAAATCAAACTAAAGCCCAAAATGTTCTGAATTTCAGGGAACCCCTGCGTGAAGCTGTTACACAGCAAAGAGCATCAATTGGTATAGACATTCCAGAGGGACTATGAAGCCTCAGGGCACCTCAGGCTGTCAGCTTTGATGCAAATCTGACAACGGGCTTCTCTTAAGTTGGGACCTCCCACCATTTCCGCGCAGCAAGGTTGGGCTACACTCATTACAGATGAGCCAGTAAAAGAAAAAAAAAAAAAGAAAAAAAGAAAAAAAAAAAAGCGTGCCCTGATCGGATTCAAGATACTTCAATGAAATGCTTCAGGAAACAGGAAATACAGGCATTTCCCAACATAGTTATTTCCTTGGGAATATTCCAAACAGATGAAGTCAAAGTGATAACTCACTTGTATGTCTATGAATACTGCCCTACTAACTTTGCCTCTAGCGATTTCCTCTTTGTTTAAAGCATAGTAAGCACAGCCTGTGTGTTGTGCTTATAGCACACGGAGACATCTAGCGCCTAAATAAGAGACTGCAAATCAGCTTCATTAATCTGAAGTCTTGGAGATGACAGTCGGATCCATTGCTTGCAATATTTCACCCCAGGACTGCAGGGTGCGGAGCGGTTTTACTGCCAACCATCGCACCAGTGAACAGCAGCTGCCCATGGGCAGGGACCGCGGTGGAATGAGCAGCTGCTCTAGCTCAGGTGGGGACTGTGACTGCAACTCTGCTGCACAGCTTGAGCTTCAGGCCTAAGAGTCACAGCAGTAATTGACACAAGACAGATATTTGCCTATGTAGACACAAAACGGGTTGAGACAGTTCCCAACTTGCCTTTGTCACTAAACCACAGAGAGGAAACCCTGTAGGTGTATCATCTTGGCTTTGACAGTGTGTCTCTATTTCTATTCTTTCTTTATTAGGCCAGCAGAACAATCATTCTAACACGTGTAATTGCAAAGCTTTGCCACTTTTCAAAAAACATGCAAACTGAAGACTTACATTTGCCAATTACTTTGGCTGATATTAAACTGAAGGTAAGCACTGCTTATCTACTAGAAAGGAACAGAACAGGTAATTTTATATACCTGTCTAAAGAAAGAAGAAATACAGACTGCTGATCAACATTCTCAGCCAGAAGCCTGGAAAAAAAGGTTGTTTCAGTGATACCCAAGTGCAGATGTTTTTGCCAGTACTATATATAGGGGTCATAAAGTAAAACATTTCCACATACTTAAACAGTCTGAAACTAAATATATTGTATTAGATATGTGTATAGGAGTGCACATGTATGTACAGTTTAGACAACTCACATAATACATTCTTTTCAGTCTCAGGCTGGTCACAAACACCTTTGAGCTATAAAAGCAGTAGATCATAGGACCATAGAAAAATAAGGCTGGAAAAGACCTTTAGGATCATTAAGTCCCACTGTCAACCCAGCACCACAAGCATGTTCACCATTAAACCATATCCTCAAATGCCATATCCACAGGTTTTTTTAACACTTCCAGGGATAGTGACTCCACCATACTTTACAAACATTTCTGTGAAAAAGAAAATCCAAAAATTTAAACTAAACCTCCTCTAGTGCACCTTGAGGCCATTTCCCCTCATCCTGCCACTTGTTACTCAGGAGAAAAGACTGGCACCCACCTCACTATGACCTCCTTCAGGTAGCCGTAGATCTCTTACAGAACGGAATCATCACCAAACAACCATAATGTTTTTTAATGATGGATACATTTCAATAAAACAATCCCTAAACCCTGTAAGTATGCAAAATGTCGGGCTTTGAAATTTCCTGAGTACTTGAAATCCCTCTATCAAACCCAAATGGTGCACTAAAGCATTAGTGCGTCTCCATTCTGTATCACTTGCTTCTTCATGCAGCTTTGGGTTTCAGCAGACAAAATTTAAATTTTAAATGCTGAAATTTAAAATTAAAAAATTATGAAAGATGGACTTGAAAGAGATAATTGATGCCATCACTATTGATTTTAATATAAGCAATGATTTTAAAATAAGCAAAAAAAAAAATTATGAAAGATGGACTTGAAAGAGATAATTGATGCCATCACTATGGTCTAATGATTTTAAAATAAGCAAAAAGGAAGCAGCTTTTTTCCTTCTGAATAAAAAGAGGTACTAGGAGAGAGGAGGGAGTATGTTAGGAAGAAACAGGTGGGAGTAAGTAAGTATTGTTAAAATGTTAAAATTAAATATGTTAAAATTATGTCCAATTCTCTCAATTCCCATGAAGACCCTTAGAAAATATTGTTGTTGGTCTATTTAGATAAGAGAGAAAATGTATCTATTTCCTTCCTTAAGCCTTTTTGGCATCTGTCCCAGGTATTCTGCCGTAATATTTTTTTCCATACAGTACCCATATTTTAAATTATCATGAAAACCACACAGATTTTTTAATTAACTCTCTGGGAGTTTAGCACTTGTGGCAAAATAAAAGTTAAATTATTAAAATAATGCAAACACTGCCTAGGCTGGGGGAAGGCTTGCTCTTGGTAAAAAACTTGATCTTACTTTGACATACTTCAACCAAAGGTAACAGCAGTTAATAAAATGTAACAACAGTTTAAGGAGAAGACAAGAGTGCAAAATGCATATTGGGGGAATGTAGAGGTAATTTTTAACCAAATTTAGTCAGGAGCAGATTTAGTGCAACATCTTCCCCTGCTCTCTGAAGAGCCAATGCAGGTTTTTGTCTGTATGTCAAGACAACCCATATGCAACTCATTTACTTTTTGCAGGTTTACAAAACAGTGTGACCTATTTCTGAGTTCTGGTAAACCCTACTTATCATTCTCCTTTGTCACTTTGTATGTTCCCAAAATTTTTACAGTGGAGAAACTTGTCGGAATTTTAAGGTTCTGATGAAAAACTGTTGAAAACCAACAATAAAACCTGATATATTTTTAGTGGTTTTTAGATTTCCTTCTCAGTATCCAATGTTGATAGCGAATCAGCAAAATGCTTTAAAAACTTGTGTTAATGGAGTATTACAGGCTGCACTGAAGGGTGAAAGGAGAATTAATATATCAGGGTTTTAAAAGAACAGTTGAAAATAAATATAAGGAACAAATAAGAATGGGAGGGGGAAGCAGATATACGTAGACCAAACACATGAAGAGGAGCACATAATTGAGACAAAAGGAAAAGAGAAGAAAACAACAAAATCACAAAGCCGATATGAGTACCAGAAAGCTGTATTTTGCCTTCTACGCTTCTAAAGTGCAGTTTGATGAAAAAAAAAATGCAACAAAACCATATTGCATCAATTTTAAATATAATGAGAATGAATTAATTCATTCATATTAAGAAACACACATACTACTTTCTTGTTGTGTTTAACATTATTAAAAACATTTGATTGTGATTGTCTTCCATATTTAAATTTTTTTCCTTGGGAAAGATTCTCACAGCAGGTGTCCAGCTTCCAAGTCACTTCAATATTTATTTTTATGTGAATTGGGTTGACATTTACAAGCTAAGTGCAACAGTAAATTTGCCTTGCATTTAAGGTAAATATAGATGGAAACTGATTGGCAAATGAGTGACCAGAAACGTAGCCATAAGGACTGCTGGTTCTAGATCGCTTGTTTGGTCAATAAACATAAGCAATATGTAAGCAGATACACTCTTAGGGTAGTCAGATCCATAAGCATTGAATTTGGAGTGCTGTACTCATGAGAAGAGCCATAGTCTACAGACCTTTTAAGATCTATCAGAAATTTTTGATTATGAAGCATTCCGTAATCGATAAGGCAGACTAAAAATTGTTGAGTGCATAATTTCCTACAAATTGCCTGCTAGACTTTGGTTGAGCCTATTTGAAATATCTATGACCATTTGCTTTTTATCTCACATGCCTTGCATAATTGCTTTTAAATTGTGCACATAAAATTTCTAGGTGATAAATTTAAGTCCTGAATTTTTTGTTTTGTTTTTATCTTAACAGAGAATTATTTTGGTTAAAACTGTGAATTTTACAAGAAGAGTAGAGCTTAAAGCACAGATTTCTGATTTGCATTCACATACTAGTAAGCCAGAAACAAGACAAAATTGAGTTCTTTTAAATTTTGAGAAGAGACAGAGTCTGGCTTCTACTGTAGAGAAATGCATTTAAGTGGTCTGTTACTTATTATGTATCTGATTTAAGAGAAATATAAATATTTTCGCAAGGTGAAATGCTCAGGAATATTACTTATTTGAAAAGTATTTAAACATTTGGAAAATAATAAAGTTGTAAGGCTTCTAAATTAGTGCCTAAACCAGATATGGAAAGCTGGTACCTCATTTTGTCCCAGAAGAAACATATGTAGGTAGGAACAATGTGTATTTGAAAACATTAAAGGCAAAGTGCAACATCAGGACATTAAGATAGCATTATTTTCCATGGCATTAAAACCAACTTTAAAACAGAACTCTCCATTAAACACAGCAAGATACATTTCTTGCACATGATGATTTGCTAATGTAAATCTTCTTACAAAGCTTTGGGCTTGTCTATTCACATTTACACCATAGTCCTCAAAATGTCATTCTTTTATAAAAACTTCTGTGAAATTCAGCAGAATTTGACACATGTTTAAGTAATATTGTAGAATAAGGCACTTATGCTTACCTTGTTTTGTAACAAAGTAACAACATGGATGTGTAAAATCACAGGGGATTGTTTCCAGTAAATTTTCAGTTTTCTGCCAACAGAGTGTGTCACCAAATGACGGACAGAACCTTTTTCCTTTTTGGAAGAACAAATACAAATGTGAATCACAGTTACAGGAAAAGTTATCTATTGGATTCCCTGCACAGGAAATCATCCTGACCTTTTGGAGTTTTTTTACGAAAAAGCTCCAGGAACTGAAATGTCTAATATGAATGACAGCCAAATGTAAAAACAATAAGTATTTCTTTGCCCAAGAGAAATGAATACTTTGATTCTCTGAGATGCATTTACAATGCTGCAGAACATGGTCCTTAAACATTTGGTTAAACATTAGGTTGAGGTATTCAATATTCAATATCAATAGCATTCAATAATCCTAAAAATCATGCTACTTTTAAAAATCAATTCTTTAAACAAGAGATTGAGGTGAAAGCACCATGATCATGAACATTACTGGTTTTGCAGATCTGTTTCGTTACAAAAACATAAATTAACATTAAAATAGGACTCTACACTAAAGCAGAGATTCATCTAGCAAAGTAGCTTCTTTCCAACAGCTGTTGACAAGAC